ATTTTTGTTCATTTGCCCATTTTCAAAGATGGTCCCTTCCTGCATAAAGTTTCTGTACGTCCACGTTGTCCTGTCACAGCTTTTCTGATCTTTTCTTATATTTTCACAAGACAAAGTTATTTTGTCTCCTGCTTGGACGGTGAAGAAGGATGAAGTTTGTCCCTCTGGTGCTGCTGCTGAAAAAAAATCCAGAATAAAAACTTTCAAGAGTCACAAATACATCAGACAGGAATACTGCAGTCAATCAAAAAGACTCGTACCTGAAAAATGAAACAGAATCATCAAAAAAGGTCCAATAATCGACCCGAATCGAATCATTGTTCTCTGCTCTATTGTCATGGTCAGATAATGGTGAAATGGCTCCTTCAGGAAGATGGAAACATGTGCAGGGGGGTTTGTGAGGTGTTACTTCCTCATAGTTCACACTTTATGACTCACTTCTGACGCCTTAATGAAAATGTATTTCATGTTTTGAAACAAAAGTCAGATATTTTCAGTGTGATTATTTATTCAATAGTTTTTAGAGTATGTTTAAGTTTCATCGTTTTATTGCTTTCTATATTTTTTGTTTGTTTGTTTTATTTTGATCAGTTTAATGTCCAGCTGCATCAGAGGGGCTTAGTCAGCTGCTAGGTGCAGTTGTGGTTAACAAGGTGTTAGTTTCGAAACTCAGTACTGGCAGGCGCAAATTTTCCACTGTGCACAAATAAAACAGAAAATAAAATGTTATTAATAGTATGGTCACAACATTCTGCAAGACAAAAAAAGTGCTTTAATATCATTGAAATATGAGATATTGCCTCATATACATTAAGAAGCATTGTTAATTGCTTCTTAACAAAAAAGCCTAAACCTATTTTTACAAATCTGACTGAATTTTTCTGTAATGCAGTCAATGGCATCAAATATTCAGCTGATGGCTGCAGAAAGCCACTTCAGAAGATTCAGCTTGGAAAGAAGTAATTTAATCTTTAGGTTGTTTAATTGTTCCAGTTTGATAAAATAATAATCCCTTTAAATAATAGGCTACAGAAAATAAAATCTATGCCCATAAGAGAATGAATTTATTGAAATAAGACACTTTTGACACGGAGTTTGCACCTCATTAATGTTTTACAGTGTAATTATTATTCTTGACCACCAGATGGGGGTGTAATTCTGAAAGCATTTAGCAGCTTTTAATTTCTAGATATCATTTACAATTTTAAAATATTAAGTTATATCTACGCTCATTATGCATTGTTTGTATTTGTACCAGAAAATCTTTTAAAATGCATCAAAACATTTCTATGAATTTCAGGAATTTACACCATTTAATTTCTTGGAGTTTATATTCCTTAATTTTGTATAAAGTAATTATTATGCTCCACCACCAGATGGGGGTGTCATACCTATATTTTAACACCTCCCAATTCAATGATGAACAATTTTAATATTAAATAAGATTTACGAGTGGCTGGAGAGAGAGAGGACTGGGCTTGACCCTGCGACCCCTCGACCCAACACTGATACAGCGGAAGAAAATGGATGAATGGATGGATGGATGGATGGATGGATGGATGGATGGATGGATGGATGGATGGATGGATGGATGGATGGATGGATGGATGGATGGATGGATGGATGGATGGATGGATGGATGGATGGATGGATGGATGGATGATGGATGGATGATGGATAAATGGATGGATTGAAACGCTGAAATTTTTAATAAATTCCTGAATTTTTTCAGTGATTTCTTGATTCATTTCATTAAATTTCATGGAATGTAATTATTATTTTCCACCACCAGGTGGGGGTGTCGTCTTCACATTTCAACAGCTCCTAATCCAAATAAGTTTATTTACTCTCTGTGCATTTGTTCGATGTCTTTTAAAAGTTATAATTTTGGAATTTATATGAATATTTGAATTTTAAAACTGTTAAATTTTACAGTAAATTTTATTTTTCTTCCTTATCCGCAGCTGGAGGAAAACAGGATTTGAGAAATGGTCACATTATAATGTTGTTATGCAAGATAATTCTCGTTGTCGCCCAACAATTACAAGTCAATTGCAAGTGATTCCAGATGTAAAAACATCCGTCCATTTAAGGGTTAATAAGCGATTTATTTTATGTAAACTATTTATTTCTAAATCTTTACCTGTGATGTCTGAGTACTGATGACTCTCTGCTTCGCTACTAATCTCTAACCAGATTGAAAAGGAAGTAAAATTGTTTCTATATAAATCTGGTTAATCTTCTCTTACACTTCATGTCGACTCCAACTTTCCACCACCGTCATGTCGGCCATCACCATGTTAGGTTTTAAAACTTTGTACATTTTTTAATTGATAGCTAGAATAAAGTAATTGTAAATACAAAACTTAAAGGAATATGAGTCAGTTTCCTGTTTTTCTCATATGAACAGATGGATCTGTAAAGTGGTTTTCTACAAACAAGCTGCTCTTTCTGTGGTTAGTCAGTTCGTCAGCATTATGACTCCTTCATATTTGCTCCATCCTTTGCTTTATTAGACTTTCAATAGATGTTTGTTTTTATTGAAGGATGAAAAATGTTTTCACACTTAACTCTATGCATCGTTATTATTATCTATACGCTGCTGCTCCACCATTGTTCTGTGTTTCTCTCTGTTCACTGAACAGAGAGTCTGAGAGGAGAAGGGCCTCGAGTTGCGTAAACGGTCACTTCCTCTTCTGAAGTGGTGACTCTTCTGTCTCAATAGTTTCCGATGCTTTAACCATTTTAAAGTGAAAAAAGCTCATTATATAAAAAAATAGAAGATTTGCAACCTGCTTTGATTAAATATTTTGAGTTGTCTGTTCTTGTGCATGAATTTAAGAGAGATTCCATATGATTAAAGTTTCTTTGAGCGGATGTAGGTGTGTGGTTGGAAAAGTGGTTTCTTCTGTTCATGCTACATGAACAGGAGTTACGTTATCTGCACTGGTCTGGCTCAGCTGTGGTTGAAACAGTCATGCTTCATAGCTTGACTAATGCATGCAATTGATTTGCTGAGAAAGATGCACAAAACTTTTATTAGATTGACAGACGTAGATCACCAACTCAATCAGAAAAATGTTCCATTTATTTCAGGATGGAAACGATGACAAGCATTTTAAAATATTGTTTATAACACATTGAACAAAAACTTTAGATGAACTCTTTCTACTTGAGAGCAGCAACTCGCTCTTCCTGGGTTTCGGCTCTGAGATCATGTTGATCAGAACCTGTGAGGGCGGATCATGAAGTCCAACAGCCAATCAAACTTTAAGCAGCATGTCTGAAAGTCCCGAGTTAGTTTCACTTTGAAGCTACGCTTAAGGTAAACTACAATAATAAAACATTTCAGAAAATCGACATCGATGGTCCTAACTTCCTTCTGTTCACTGATTGGCCTGGTAAAAGTTGTCCTAGAGGAATCCACTGCAATGGGAGAAATGCTTTTACTAGCTTTCGTTTAGTTTTTGACTAAAATTTGCTTAAAGCAAACTTTTTTGAAAACCAAATCCAATATTTTTTTAAGACAGTTTTCACTCAGTAACATCATCTGTTTCTGTTTTCTTTTTGACCTCGGCATAGACTGCAGTATCTCCAGGAGAATAGTTGTCCTCGGAGGAATGAACCTAAAAATGATCAAGAAAACACAACATTTAGCCAGAGGGGCGACCAGGAAACATTTTTAAAGATCTTTGACTTCACTCTGCCCGCTGGCCCTTACTGATTTGATTTCAGTGTTTAGAACAGACTTAACACAAATATTGCAGTTGGACATCATTCCTGATCACTAAATATGATCCACTGTCCTGTTTTAAAAAGTGCTAGAAACCGGCACATGATCAGCAGGTAGAGTAATAAAGGTGCTTTCACACCTGATAATCCAGTAGACTCAGTTTGATTGGTTTGTTTTCACACTGCAGTGTGTCAAACGATCCAAACTAGTAGAAAAACCTGTTCGCCTCCTCGCCTGTGGTGGCGCTACTCCAAGAACTACTGAGGGGAACACAAATACCTCTGAAGAAGCTCAATTTCCTGCTCCATGTAATGTAAACAGAAAAGCACTGGCATCAGATTTTAACGGTTGAAGGGTTTCTGTTTTGGTAAAAGACCAGAAGTCTAGCAGTAAACTCTCACATTTGTTTTTATTGTATTTACCCAGAATACCCTGTGCTGCAGTCAACTTCCTGCTTTTGCAGTGATCTCTAGTCTGGCTGCAACCACATCTGCATTTGAGAGTTGAGTTTAATCGAACAGAGACTTTAGTTTTCATGCAGACCAGAGTTTGGTTTTTGATCCGTATCAGTTTTATTGCGCGTTCACACCTCACAAAACAAACCAGATTTTCAAGGCAAATGTCAAACTGCATCCTCACATTTCATTGCTTCACCTGCTACCTGGAACTTTGTGCATAACAGAGTTCATGTACACCGTCCCAATACAAATGCCCAACAATAACACACATGTAAGGTGGCTGGTTTACGTAACAATCTATCATTAAATATCATCATGTAAATTAGTCAGGCAGAACATTTTAAAATTGTGATTTATATTTAAATATTAAAATAAATGACTCACCTGTTTTTTCCTCTTTGCGTAGCAGACTGAGGCGTAGTACACACACTCTGCAGGTTCAACCTGGAAGCAGAAAACACTAGAATATCAGTTCATCGAGTTTAAACTACACCATGTTCCAAATTATTATGCAAATTATATTTTTCCCTCATTTTCTTAAATGGTCAATGCAAATGAGCCAGGATAACAAAAGTCATCATCCGTCAGAGTATAAATTTAAAAGTATTGAAAAAACCTCCCAATGATGACTATATTCTTCAAAAATAAAAAAAACTGTTCCAAATTATCATGCACAGCAGAGTCTCAAAACATTTATAGCTAGTAAAGAATTGAAAATGGTCATTTGTTGAATTTGCAGCATGAGGAGATCAGATTCACTGAATCAAAAACTATTTCAATCAAAAACATCCTAACAGACCAAGTTACATGTTAACATGGGACCTTCTTTGGTATCACTGCATAAACCTTGATACATTTAACTTGTGAGTTTCTGGAAAGTTTCTGCCTGAATTTCTTTGCAGGATGTCAGAAAACCTTCCCAGAGCTGCTGTTTGATATGAACTGCATCCCACCCTCAGGCCTTCTGCCTGAGGAAACTCCAAAGGTTCTCAATGGGGTCAGAGGTCAGAGGAGGACACCATGAGTTTCTCCCCTTTTGTGCCCATAGCAGCCAATGACACAGTGTTAGTCCTTGCAGCATGAGTTGGTGCATCGTCATGCATGAAGATGATTTTTGAACCATGAAAGAAAGTGATCAGTCAGAAAGTCCATTTACTTTGCTGAAGTCATTTTCACACCTTCAGGACTCTGAAAGGGCCGACCAGCTCTCTCTCTCTCTCTTACTCTCCCCATGGTTTGGGCCCACAGCATGACTCCACCACCTCCTTGCTGACGTCACAGCCGTGTTGGGACGTGGTGGCCGTCCAGCACCATCCACTACTGCGTCCATCTGGACCATCCAGAGTTATACAGCAGTTATGAGTGAACAAGTCTGTTTGAAAATGAATCTTCATGTACAGCTGGGCCCATTGTGACTGTTTCTGCTTGTGAGCAGGTTAGGGGCCCAATAGTAGGTTAGGGGCCCAATAGTAGGTTTGGGGCCCAATAGTAGATTCAAGCACCGCATGAAGCCTCTGGAGGATCCTCAGCCATGAGGTTCGCGGGACTCCAGAGGCACCAACAGCTTTAAATGCCTGTTTGCTGCTTTGTGAGGGCATTTTAACAGCTGCTCTCTTAATGCCTGGGAGAAACCTTCCTCATTCTGCCTTTATCTGCTCAAACCCGTCTGTGCTCCGAATCAACCAGATATTCTTCACAGTGCAAAGATCACGCTTAAGTTTTCGTGAAACATCTAATGTTTTCATACCTTGTCCAAGGCACTGCACTATTTGATGCTTTTCAGCAGCAGAGAGATTCTTTCTCTTTCCAATTGCTTGAAACCTGTGGCCTGCTTAAAAATGTGGAACATCCTTCTTCCAAATTAGGCAAATTCTGACAGGTGTCTGAGATTGATTTCAGTGATCCAAAGAGCCCAGAGGCACAACATCATCCATGAGTTTAATTGAGAAGGAAAAAAAATATCTTTGACACTTTCATCCAATTTTCATAATAATTTGGAACGTGGTGTAATCTGTAAATAAGATTCAAAAGTGTCTTTCACTCAAACAGTTCAAAGACAATAAACACCAGTTTGAACTGGTTTTACTGTGTTTTTACCATAGCTTCACTGGTTTCTGGATCCAAAACTGTGCCTTCAGGTTGTAAGATGGGCTCCTGCTGAAAATACAGAAAAAACAGCAAGTGAATATAAGTCCTTGATTCATTTCATTGTCAGTATATATAAATAATGAATGCTAATAATGTGAGCATTATTCCTGTTGTAAAATCAATTTGTCAAGCAATTTGTTTCCAACTAAAAGAACGATTTGCAAACAAGATTATAATAAACACAACCGGCAAGTCGCTTTGCTAGAGAAACATATGAAACTTGTCCATATTGGAACTGATCAGTCCTACAACTACCAACCTGGACACAAAACTTTAGTACTTTACTACCTTAATGATTCTCTACATGCAGTGCAAAACCTAAAGCGTTGATGCAAACTCACCGTGTTTTCTTCCTTCTTGATTTCACTTCCTGAAAAAACAATGGAGGTGAATTCAGCTTCATAGTGCAATACAAAATAATCACTTCTGTTCCTTAATCACCAGATTTAGAAGATACATTCTGTTATGGATCATAACGGTCTCATGTTCTTTTCAAGCACTTTGTTCTAAGTTTATGACAAAGTCATTGTCTGTAACGTAATATTGATGCAGTAAAATGGTTCAACGTAAATTTAGAACGAATAAAAGATGAATCTGTGAATGTTCTGACCTTTAGTTTTCTTCCATTTGATGAACAACAGAATGATTATTAAAATGGCTGCTGAAGCCACAGAAACAACAATGTGCCACCAAGTCCAACCTGGAAAGAGAGTTTGAACTTCAAAACGGAGACAAACTGAGGAAACTAGAAAGATGAAGAGAAAGTTTCCTCTGGGAGTTTGATTCTTCAAAAAAGTAGTTTTGGAGATTTGTATAGTTTTGAAATTTGATTCTTTGTATAAGCTGTGAGTTGTCGGTTCAAATCTCCACTCAGTCAGTGTTGGACGCTAACCTTAGCCTTCATAAGAAATACTTAGAATCACTCAAAAGTACCTTTTGGTAACGTTAATGACTTTGTAATTATCATGCTAGGATTATTTGCTTCATTATATTTTTTTTTTTTTTTTTTTTTTTAAACGTAAGTTCATAATGGACTCACCTGTATCATGATCTGCATTATGATCTGCATTATGCTCTGCATCATGATCTGTTGGCTGGTGGCTGAAGGTGAACAGCTGAACTTCTTTAGTTAAGATATTTGTGACTTTACATTTTGTAGAGCTAAAAAATGTTGAGTTTTGATGAAGGGAAGTTGTCAGTACCGCAGTAGAACGATAGAAGGGCGGTGATGGTTCTGAATGTGAGGATGTTTCTCCTTCCCCCTCATGCAGCCACTCCACTGTGTGTCTATTGAACTCATAATCCATCACAGAGCAGCTTAAGATGAATGATATATTGGTCTTCTGTTCAGTCACTGGTGAAGATGGAGAAATTCAGAGACATAAAGTGTTAGATCATCTGAATACTTTACTGTTTCAGTGGGTTGTTCTAACAGAAAACATGTAAAAACTCACAGAGAACAACAGATAGATAAACTGGGGAGTTTGATCTTTGTTGTCCTGTTAACTGGCTGCAGGTGTAACGACCAACATCCTTCATGGTGACCTTCTTTATGACCAGAGAGCATTTGGCAGAGACATTCAGTCTGTCTGATACAGTTAAATTAAACTTTCCATCTTCAAACAGCGTCACTGCTGATGATTGGAACAAAGTCCAAGTTGTTGTGTTACATTTATTCTGACCATCCGTCACGTATTTACAAGGCAAAGTCACTTCATCACCAACTCTGACCACAAACACAGACACTTGATGTCCTGCAGCTGCTGTTCAGAGAACAAGACAGAAAATGGATAAAACTGATCATACAACACATTGATTAATGAGAAAATGTGTTTCATAAATATAAATACAGCTTTGTAATGTTATTGTTAAAGGTTTACTTACCTGTAACTGTAATCATCAGTATCAGCTGTAAATACATTTTGATCTCTGTATTAAATCATGTTCCTCTCTGTCTCGCCTTGTGAACAAATGATTCAGATCATCAGTGGTTTCCTCTTAAAGCTGAAAACGTTGCAGCCTGTCTGCAGGGTGTCACTTCCTCATGACACAATATTTCTGTCTTACATCACAGACTTGCTTCTTCATATATGTTTTTATAACTTTTAATTTCTAGCTTGTTCTAAAAACTGTGAACATCTCACTCTGTATTTATCTAACACTTTGATTTGTTTTCATGTGTTGAAATATAAACTTTTATGTATGAAAGAACAACAGAAAAAGAAGCAGCAGAAATGTGGGCGTGTCTGAGGTTAGAGGTGTTAGTTTCATCAGTGAGAACAGAAACGCGTCATCTGGATGCTGCGTCTTCTCATGATAAAGATACAGATAAATATGCACGTATTTATCATGATCTGTGGTTTTCATACATCAGATAAGTTTTCTAAGTTGAACTACTAATTATTTATGAGTCATTTCTCTTGAGCAGCTTGCTGGCAGGTACCAGGTTAACCTTTCACCCCTTTTGGTTTGTCAGAGCATCACCCTAAGAACATGGCAGGAAGTTTCTTCCACATGAGAATGGCATCTGCAAGAAGGGTTGCAAGAAGCATTGAGGTACTCAGGTTCTGCACATGGTGCAGTTGGTAGCACCACAATAACTGTACATTTACTGCTATATGTGCATTTTCTTAGTATCTTTCCTGCAGTATTGGCTTTCAGTTCCACTCCATTTCCAGGATGCTTGTTGCTACTCGTTCCTTTTGGCTCAGCATAATTCTTACTCTCAACAATGGAGAAACTGGCACACACACGACCAGATCTTGGCTCCATGTTTGTAGCTTATATGTTAAATATTGCATTCCTTATAGTTACCAGTGTTGCTGTTTGGGGGGATCAGAAGTTGTTTTTCTCCTTTTTTGGGCAGAGTGGTTTTGAACGAGCTACATTTACTTGTAGTTGAGTAAGATTTGACCATGAGTATCAATACTTAAGTACTAACTAGAGCATCGTCCACCATTGGTTATCCAGGCTAATGTAGGACATACCTCCTGCTGTGAGGCCTTGGAGCAGCTTGCTGGCATGTACCTGGTCAACCCTTCACCTCTTTTGGTTTGTTGGAGCATTGCCCTGAGAAAATGACAGGAAGCGTGTTGTACATGACACTAGCATCTGCAAGACGGGTTGCAAAAGGCACAGAGGCAAAGTTCACATTGACGCTCAAACCCCCAATTGTTTTTCATAGTCCTTCACATTACTTTTAAAACTGACCCACATGTGCAACAGAACGAGACCTTCTCTGCTTCAGTTAACCTCCCCACAGATCTTCACTGCATTACTGACACATGAAAAAAAATTTGCATCAGGCTAAATATTGTTTATTATCAGCCAAGTTTTATTTGGAAGTTTGCAGAGCAGCAGCACACTTATATCAACAGTTTTTCTTTTGCAATTACATATTTTTTGGTTTATCACAGAAAATATTTGGACAAATCTCCAGCTCACTGAACTGTGAAAGGCAACAATTTACAAAGCAAACAAAGCAGCTGATCGTTTTCTTTTCTATGCGTCAAAATAAAGACCAGCATTTTGGGAAAACTGCATCAAAAAATGAATCTTTGACTGTTACACACCTCATAAAACTAAAAACAAATGTCCATCAAAATATGAAACAGCTGAATTTGTTTTGAAGTATAGCTTACATAGAGGTAAGTTATATCTTACTGCACTGTCGGAGCGCTGTAAGTCCAACAGCGCCCTCTACTGGCTGGGGTCACTTCACAACAAAAACAACTGATCCATTCATTTCTAAACATTCTTATCCCACTTCATGGGCCTCCACAGTTACTTTATGAAACTGTTTTCCTTTATTTAAAATCTAAATCTACCAGTTAGTTTCTGTCAGCAGCAGGAAGATTCTCTCTGTTTTCCTCCATGACTGTTTCTTCATTATCATCCATGAGCCTCTGCTGAAAACAAAATATGTTTAAATTACATTTCTTGCAATTCTCACTACAACAATAATGAATCAGTGATGTGGTGTTCTGATACCTGCTGTAATTTCCTGTTTGGCTATTTTAGATTTACAAAGTTTGAACCGAGTTTTCTTCTTCCTGGTTTTCATTTGTACATTTTAACATCATGCAGATGTTTATGTTAATCTGCATTTTCTTTGCTGATGACATTTTAAAATGTCATCATCCTGGTTTCCCAAAACATTTCATGTGTAAACGTTTCATCTGTGACTGCTCTCACCGTTTTGTTTTTCATCTTCATGTTGACTGCAATAACAGATGTAAGGAGCGCTGCCAAACCCACAGACACAGCAATACATCTCAGAACGTACGAAACATCTGGAAAACCTGAAAATACAAAGATTGAGATTAAACGAGACAAAGTTTACCAACAACACCGATATCGAAGTACTGATCACCGAGTAATCTTCTGCTTGTCTTTATTTTTGGATTTTGTATTATATATATTTTTCAGACAAAAGACGATGAGAAGAAGCTTAAAAAATGCATGAAACTGGTTTTGTTATGTGAGATTTATGAAGTGTATGTAGATGTTCTTAGGTTAGATTGTCTATTATGGACTCACCTGCATTATGATCTGCATTATGATCTGTTGGCTGGTGGCTGAAGGTGAACAGCTGAACTTCTTTAGTTAAGATATTTGTGACTTTACATTTTGTAGAGCTAAAAAATGTTGAGTTTCGATGAAGAGAAGTTGTCAGTACCGCAGTAGAACGACACCAGGGCAGTGATAAGTCTGAATCTGAGGATGTTTCTCCTTCCCCCTCATGCAGCCACTCCACTGTGTGTCTATAGTTCAGATGATCCGTCACAGAGCAGCTTAAGATGAATGATATATTGGTCTTCTGTTCAGTCACTAATGAAGATGGAGAAATTCAGAGACATAAAGTGTTAGATCATCTGAATACTCTACTGTTTCAGTGGGTTGTTCTAACAGAAAACATGTAAAAACTCACAGAGAACAACAGATAGATAAACTGGGGAGTTTGATCTTTGTTGTCCTGTTAACTGGCTGCAGGCATAATGACCAACATCCATCATGGTGACCTTCTTTATGACCAGAGAGCATTTGGCAGAGACATTCAGTCTGTCTGATACAGCTAAATTAATCTCTCCATCTTCAAACAGCGTCACTATTGATAATTGGATGAAGATCCAAGTTGTTGTGTTACATTTATTCTGACCATCCGTCACGTCTTTACAAGGCAAAGTCACTTCATCACCAACTCTGACCACAAACTCAGACACTTGTTGTCCTGCAGCTGCTGTTCAGAGAACAAGACAGAAAATGGATAAAACTGATCATACAAAACATTGATTAATGAGAAAATGTGTTTCATAAATATTAATACAGCTTGTTAATGTTATTGTTAAAGGTTTACTTACCTGTAACTGTAATCATCAGTATCAGCTGTAAATACATTTTGATCTCTGTATTAAATCATTTTCCTCTCTGTCTCGCCTTGTGAACAAATGATTCAGATCTTCAGTGGTTTCCTCTTAAAGCTGAAAACGTTGCAGCCTGTCTGCAACGTGTCACTTCCGTTTGAGTTCGACTTTTGTCTCACATTAGAAGCTTGTTTGAGTAAATTTTTTACAACATTTTAAACCCAATTTCTCATTTTAATAACCGAGGACATCAGTATTGTTACTGTTTTCTAGTTTTAATGTGTCAAACATACACTTTTCTATAGTGAAGAGTAAGGAACAGAAATGTAGTGAAGTTTGAGGTTAGAGGTATTAGTTTCATATGTTAGCTGGGCTGAACAGAATGTAGCAGCTGTTTTTTTTCTTGCTCTGATGAAGAGAAAAACATTTGCACTCATTTGAAGCATGCGCCTTATCAGCGGCCTGGGAGTTTCAGGGTTTTGATCTTTTTGTTAGCTGTTTCTTAGATGTTTTTAAAACTGCACTCTTCTCTTTCTGGAATCTCATCCAGTCTCAGGAATCTGCTGCATCCACTTTTCCAGTTTCTGGATTACAGTTTGATGCTCAGATGATGAAATTTGACTCTATGCAACTTTTCCTGCTTGAACTTTTCATGTTCCTTCTTGATGTTTGCATCACTTGCTCCACCTTCTTTTCTCTAATCTGGTTGGTTGGATCTGAGAATCCCCCAGCATTTAATCCCTATTGTTCTCCATGATTCTTCACCGTATTTCCTACTTTGCTTGGGTATTTATTTTTTCTCAAACTTATTTGAGTTATTTATTTGATAAAAACTTATTTAGAACCTGACCAGTTAAAATGGAGCAGCCTTTAAATTCCTGCTTTTGATTTGTCAGAGCCTCACCCTTAGGTTGGATGTAATATTAACATAACTTAATATTAACAGGATATTTACGCCACCTAGTGGTGACATGTCATCTTAGAATAATCATATTTCATCAGAATCAGCAGAGCTGTTGCAGGCTGAAACTGCCGAGGAACAGTCCCAATATAAACAGCATCATGGTTGTAATAAATGCAGCAAAGGAGGATTTAAGGGTTTAGAGTAATTATTTTAACCAACACTTAAAATAAACAAAACCGGAATTTTAAAAAGACGAGTTTTATGATACAATAACTCTCCTTTAGTTTTCAGTCCAGCACACTGTTATCAAGGAGCCCCTAATCTTATACCAGAATCAAATGGAGAAACATGAGAGAACTTAAGAACAGGACCAAGAGTTTAATCTGTAGGTTAGAAATATCTTAAATAAGAAGCAAACATCACCTGCATAGCAATGGTAAATAATTAACTAAAACGTTCCCAAATTGAATTATAATAAAAAACTGCCCACATACTAAAAAAGACACAGAAATGGATTATTTGAGTAAATAACAAAAAAATATATATTTTTTTAATAACTCAGTATAAAATTGTTCTAACTTGTTTAGAATCTTTAGCAGAAGCAGAAACTGTGTCACTCAATAAAGATGATGTCACTGCTAATAATTCACACTTTGAAATGAATAAATGTTCAGATTTGAATAACTCTATTTTTTTTCAGAGTATAATCATTTTCCAGGGAGTGAATGTTGAGGTTGTTCATTGGTTCAGAACAAAAATCTCCAATTTCCTCATAGATCACCATTTCTTCATCTTCATCACCGTCACTCTGTAAAACCAACAAAACACTCAATGTTTGGAAAACTGAGGCTCTACTTTGGAAAACCACTAACAGTCAAAAGTATTTTAATCAGCTTTTGTTGTTTTAAATACTTTATTGATCCAGATTTACCTCCACAATCCCAGGAATCTTTGTCTTGTTTCCTGAAAAGAGTAAAAATCTCAACTTTAGTTCAGCCTCAACCAAAAAACCCAAAACTCGTCAAGAAATCTTCTCACCTTTAGTTTTTGTCCAGATTTCCACTCTGACAACAGAAATGATGAGAACTGCCAAACTGACAGATACAATGATCCATCTCATCAAATATGGAAAGTCTGAAAACAATAACAAAATATTCTTAGAAACTGACATTTTCACTCTGAACATTCAGATTAAACTTTAAACACTACAAAATTAAAATATTATAGCAAAATGACAATGTGAATCCTTAAAATAAGTGCTATCTACATAACTAAAATCTGTGTTATATTTGTATTGTAACTAATTTAGATAAAAGCTGCAAATGCATCTAAATGCCAGGCTGAAATTTAGCTGTGAAAAATGTGTTTCTGTAAAGACTGATGAAAAACGTAGAAATGCAGATTCTCACCTGATTTTTCACCAGAGAACTGAGGCCTGAACACAAACAGCAGAACTTCATCTGTGTACGAATTCATCACTTCACATTTCAGTGACTTGTAAACTTCTGACTTCTGTTCAGGGTCGGTTGCAGTAAAAGTCACATTGGAGGAGCAGGAACTTGTTGATATCTCCACCTGTGATGTCATTTCCTCTTCGCCCTCAAACATCCACCTTACTGAGTGAATACAGTGTCCAAATACCAACAGGGAGCAGAACAGAGTGACTCTGCCATCTTGCTTCTGTTCACTTACTGGTGCAGGGACAGATGTAAAGAACAAGCATTCAGCAAATGAGCAACATGGAATCATGGTGGACTGGTCACATTACAAAAGTAATTGTAAACCACTTATTAATAAGCTCAAATCAAAGCAAAGATAATAAGTAATACTCACAGTTTATGACAAAAACATAAATGCCAAAGCCTGGTCCTTGGAGTTGATTGAGGAAATAAGTTCTGCTGGTGTAAGAACCGACATCCTGAGCAGAGACGTTCTTAATAACCAGGGAACAGTCGGCAGCCATAAACAGCCTGTTCAGTTTAGTTTCTGCAATGTCCATTAACCGCCCACTTTCCACCAGCATCACTGATTCCTTGAGTTCAGGACCAGCGAAGATCCAGGTGGAACCTTCACAGTTTTTCTGGTGGAACCCGTTTCCAGGGGGCAAAGTAACGTCGTCTCCAGTTTGGACAATGAAGAAGGACAGAAGTGATCTGATGGTGGCTGTTGACAGAAATGAATGAATGAATGAATGAATGAATGAATGAATGAATCCACTTTACATGAAAATCTTAAGTTGTTAGAATTATTTAAAGTCCAAAACTTTACAGGGAACTTTAATCCAGAAGTTCTAACGATATATTATGTAGCCTTTACTTCCAATGTAACAAACCAAATAATTTGACATATAAACTGTATATTTGACAATGATCAGATGGTGGTGACCTGTGGTTGGATTGTTTGTGAAGATGGCAGGTGTTTGTCCTGCAGGTTTTGTCGTTGGTGTTTCAGTTTTCGGTTTAGATGTTACTCTCTGGTCTGTTGGCGTCGTCACATTTCTGGAAGAAGTTGCAGAACTTGAATCTGAGAATCAAAAAATAAAATCCAGTTTTCACAGTTTTCAGCAGGAATCTGAACACTGATGGCCATAAATTAATGAAATAAAGAAAATGTTGCAGTTTCATCACATGGGAAGTGCAGATACACATCTAATAGAACTGATATCAATTATATGCATCTCACATAATCATTATGCAATAGAAAAAACAAAAGTTTATTTGATTGATATCAAAAACTACTTATTTAAAACTGTAATACTTGGTCACTTTTTAAATTACATTTTAATCCCTTGGAAGAAGGGAAGTTTCTAAGCATTTTCTAAGCAAAAGAAGAAACATGAAAGGATGACAGAAAGTCACTACTTTGTTGCATAAAAAGTCAGTTTGAGCTGAAATGAAAGAATTTAAACACTCACCATCATGAACAGATAGGATCACCTCAGCATCAGGTTTTTGTTGCCGTCCTGCTACAAACTGTCTGCAGAAGTAACGACCAGCGTCTTTATCCGTGACTCTCCGTATCAGCAGAGAACAATTTGTAGCAATCCTCAGTCTGTCTGATTTGGTTTTGGCTGCTTTGTAAATCTGTCCGTGTTCAAACAGCATCACTGTTTTGTTGGTTCTTGGGTTGCAGAAAAACCAATTGGTGTATTTACACTTCTCAAGATTATCTTTCAAATTTCCACAGGGAAGACTGACATCGTTTCCCTCTCCGATGGTGAAAGTGACTGGATTGTGCAGGAATGCTCCTGTTAAGAGAACAATAGGTGGAAAAGGAAGAAGAGTCAGGATTATGTATTTTCTGGGCACATTGGGCTATAAAATGGTGTTATCCAATGCCTATGTTACCTTCAGTTATGTTTATATATTAGTAAAAACTTAAACTGACAGTATGGTATTATATGTTTTCCAGACACATACCATAATCAAGTAACTATGTAATCTTCAGTTCTTATAAAAATGCCAGTAAAAGAAACTTTACTTTTAATTTAGCATCTAGAAATTGGGCCTCTGTCTCCAAATCTACCTTCAGGAAGTAATTTTATACAACACTGCCACTTTAAGTATATCATATTTATGAGTTATGATAGTTTGGAGCTGGTGAAGGACAGAGTCTAGTTTCATGATGTCAAGAAACTTGAAATTTCCATCAATACTTCTTAGTTGTGTTTTAGTTCTCTGTTAGGTTTTCCCTCAATCATGGAGATTTTTTTTCTTTTCAACTAGCAGACTCAGAAAAACTCCTGTATGCATCTGACTTTATCTCGCTTGGCTTTATCGAGTTGTGTTTTGTAAATGCTGATCAATATAGTTAGAACTACAATATGACTAAATTGTGTCTTTGCAATAAGATTAGCAGCATGGTGCATGAAGGAGACATGCAAAATGACTCATTGGCTTAGTATTTTCTGAAGGAACGCCCTGAGCTGTAAATGCACTAAACATTTGCTTTGTATGTATTTCTGTTAGATCTGGTCCTACCTGCCAACTGAAGCAGTAAAAACACGTTCATCCATCTGTATGGAAGCATTCTGCTGCTGTTCGTCTTCCTCTGTAGTCCTGATCGTAAATGGCTCAGGCTCAAGCATTTTGAAATATAAACTCTGATGCACTTTGTGTGGTTTGTGAGAGCTCACTACCTCACTCTGGTTTCCTTTTATATTTTCTCATCTCTGCTACTGAAAGGATTAATTAAAAACATTTTGGTATTTTAGTTTCAATAAAAGCTACGTCAGTCTGGCAGCAAACCCACCAGAGAAGAAATGCATTTAGATTCAATGCACCGCAGAAAAACATGGCTGACCATGTGGCTGCTATGGTATGATGTCGTATGAAACATCATAGCTGTCTGGTTGTGGGTGCTGAAGTGTTAGTTTCTATTGGTTGCATTACTCATGGGAAAGCAGGACATGCTGAAATTTGACTGACCTCTGCAGCATCATAAAACATACAATACTCCAGTGGGTTATGTTTTGTTGCTTGATTAGAGTTACGTTGCCTTTGGGTTTTTTTTGTTTTTTTTTTGTTGGTGTTTTTTAATGACTTCTTTAATCAGTTATTAGTGGTGTGTAAATAGTTAACAAGGTGGGAGTTTCTGTAGTTTGTGCTCATGCAGGTCATGTGGTTTTCTCAGACATAAGTTCCTCTATGAAACAAAACTCGGCCTTCGTGTCCCAACATAAGAATGAACTTCACCCCCGAAATGATAAAATACCAAATTCTTTATTGTCAAATCAGTCTATGACATAAAGCACAACCACAACTATCAACATGTTAGCAAAATTACTTTGAGTATAAATTATTTTAAGATGTGACACAGTAAAATATGGTTGAATAAACCGTACTGTTATTGGACAATGATGTCACAAAAACTTTGTTGTGGGAAAACACTGCTCTGTCTAATACAGTTAAATTATTAGTGACAAGCTGTCACAGCTTCAGGCTACCAGCAGATGCCACTAGTGAGCAGTGAATGACGCTTTGATGAGCCAACATTACTTCCCCAGTTTCACCTCTCATGGCCTCTGGGTTGAGACACATTTTCCTATTTTTGCTTCATGATGTCTCAAGACCAGAGGGGAAGAACACATTTTCATTGAGGACAAAATTGAGGAACTTGACTCTGAAGCTGTATTTCTCAGTTATATTATTTATTAACAGATGTGGCCGGGACAGGGAAGACTTATTATTACCTCAGGTTGCAACGTTACATACTGATAAACTGCTGTTGCAAACCACAGACAGTGTTTGACTGATCTGAGATCTGTTGATTCCCTTTTTTAACTCTGCAAGTTTCCTTAGACAGCAGGAATAACAGTCAGATGACACATGACCAACACTCTGAATGAGTCTCTATGGTATCATGCAGGATGAGCAACAAACTGGACACTTCACTTTTCAAAACTGAACCGTCTGATGACTTCGCTGTGGCTTTTTCATGTTATGACTCCAGCTGCTTCGGCCTCTTCACTCCATCTTCATTGCATTTCACTAGATATGGCAAGCAGTAACATACTTAATCTAACTTTGTTCCATCTGACCAGTCAGATTTTCTCACATGACCCAGATTAGGAAAACATTGATGACTACAACCTTCAATATGTTGTTTGAGAGAGCGATGAATCTCCTCTGGAGAGCTAACAAATATATTATTCAGTTTAAATCTGTGACGACAAACATAAAATCCTGGTATGTTATATATGTTTATACTTTCCTCTAGGAGCAGTAGTTACAGGATATCTTTAGGTACACACTTGGGTGTAAAAATATTATGACCTGTCTATAATATGTGGCTAAAGCAAAAAAATAAAACAAAAAGCCATTGCTTTGCTGGACAGAGAGGAAAGAAGAATATACAGCAGATTCTTGGGCCGGGAGTTGAGACCCGCTGCGCTGAAGACTCGGCCTCAGTACCTTGGGTCTTTGCTCAAGCTGCAAAGCTTTCAATGCTTTTTCTATGTCTTGTTGACTGTAGAATAAAGGCAGTCTGTGTCAGAGGAGACTCCTGAAGCAGAGGAAGACGTTCCCACAGTGCTGTAGATCACAGTTTCAGGGAACTGGAAGGAAAAATCACATTCACTATGATGTTTAGGGTGTATCAAAGTCTTAACAATCCAATTTCACATCAAATTTAAACATATTTGTGACAATTATCCTCCAGAAAGGGAGATTTTGTTTCAGGAAGCTAATTTTGTATCTATAGTTTAAGACTATTTGGAATGCTAATGCCACTAAATCAATACCAATAATATCCAGAATATCCCATTGTTTGTTTTTATTTCGTTTATTAAATACTATTCACAGCCGTGTGTTTATCAGCAGATAAAACAGAGTGTGTTTTTGAAATACACACTCTGCTGGATTTTATCTTTAAGCAATTTTATTTTATGTTTGTTTAGCTGTTTCAACCTGTTTTACTTTGTGGAAATTTATGTAGATTTTGCCAAAAGAACAGACATTAAATTATTCAAATACATATCTGATGGTTCTTTAATGCACTGAAAAACTCACATTGCCTGTTTTCTTTTTGGATTTCTTGAAGTTGATGGAGGCATAAGACAGACCGTCCTCTGATTCAGCCTGGACAGAGAAAAACACTTTTTAACATTTGACCTAAATAAAGCAGGATTTGAAAATAAAGTTTCATTGATCAGTCATTGCGGTTTCTATTAAAAATAAACAAAAACACAAGAATCAACAAACAATGCCAAACATAATAGTGTGTACATATGTTCACTTGCTCAGGCGATTTCGAATATTTTCTATCATGTTCAATAATCTTTTGACAAACAATCAACATCATTAGGATCAAAGCCAGGTTGTTGAGCAGCAGATCCTCATTTTTAAGTTTCATGGTATTGAGTGGTAGAATCAGGAACAAATGGGTGATAGTTATGGTTAACATTAAATGCAATGACTAACATGAATAGAAGCCAATACAATGTCCTGTATGGAAGAAACTGAAATGTTTGTGTGTATGTGTGCGTGCACGTGTGTGTGTGGGGAGGGGTTGGGGGAGGGGGGGGAGGTGTGTGTGTGTGTGTGGGGGTGTGTGTGTACGTGTGTGTGTGGGTGTGCGTGTGTATGTGTGTGTGTGTGTGGGGGGGGTGTGTATGTGTGTGTGTGGGGGTGTGTGTGTACGTGTGTGTGCGTGTGTGTGTGTGTCTGTGTGTGTGCGTGCGTGTGTGTGTGTGCGTTGTACTTGTAAAAGTTCAAATAGAGGACCATTTCCACCATTTTGACAAAAAAAGAGAGGTCATTGTGGAAAGTGAGGACCTTTTCCTGGCCCTCATCCTTTTGTAGTTCTACTTCACTCTATGTATAGAGGCATGGTAAAGGTTAGATAAAATGAATGGAAATCAATATAAAGTCCACAAATGTGTCTGTGCGTGTCTGTGCATCCATGTGTGCGTATGTGCGTGTGTTTGCATGTGCGCATACTGTATTTTGACTGGTTTCTGGAACAGCTAAGCCCTCTGAAGACTCTGGGTCCAGGTCCTGGTTTGTTGAAACTTTATGCTGGGGAACCTTACATCAACAAATTCACAGCAAGTGCCGTATATTACATAATTAAAGTACTATGGTTTAAAACAAATGACTATGTTTGGACAATGACCTGAAGTAAAATAAATGATATGGAAAGTCACCAAGAATTTATCATCAGATTGCTTTTTAAGTTAAATAACCCTGTGGGGAATGAAACCTCAGGTCCATTTGTTTTCTTGTGACTACTTTATGTTCAACTCCCTTTTTGTGACTAAATTAATTCCTTTATCTTGCTTCAACATTTATCTACCAGATTGTATCTCTGTGTTAAACTCTTTCCAGTGTATAGGAAAATACACATCTAAAATTAAATCTAAACTTAATTATATTTAATGTGTCAATGTTGAAACTCACCATGATGTCATCAATTTGTGTTTTATTTCCTGAAACAACACAGAAATGGACTTATATGTTCACAATGGTATGAATTTTCTAAACATATGTGTCAAGATGACAATGGCTTAAATAATGAATGTATTTTTTGAACTTCTTATTTAAACATACTTAACATTATCAGATCATTTTTTCATCAAGTCACTACCTACTGTTGGTAACAGTGCTGCTCTTTTACTAAACGCTACTAACGCTACTAACGCTCTACAGCAAAAGACATAAAACATGAAAATCTAAAATGCCATTTGCATCAATTTAACTTCTAGTTCTTTCAGGTAATAGTTTGGAAATGAAAGATTCAACTCTGAATTATCTCACCTTTAGTTTTGTTCCACCTGATGATCACCAGGACAGTTATTAAAACCATTGCTAAGCATAATGGAATAAAAATATACCACCATGGAAAACCTAAGAAGATAATTCATTACATTAAAAACAATGTAATTCCAAGAAAACAATGTTGTTAATCAAAATGTGAACACAGCTAATCGGTCTTAATGTACAACATCACAGTTACTGATGAGAGAAGGATTGGTCATTGCATAAATTAGTTTAAATGACTTATTTCCAATAATGTCAATTTACTTGTTGATGTGCCATTTGTAGAGTTGGTTGTTTTCTCTATTTCTTTATTTGTTTGATTTTCTAGTTCAGAAAAAAAATGACATAAACTTTATAATGATGATAGATCTAGCTTTGTAATGTTGTATTCTCTTCTATTCAGTTTATTTATACGGCATCAATTCACAGCACATGTGGTCTCAAAGCGCTGCACAAAAATCATTTCAATTCAGTGTCAATGAAAAATTGATCTGTATAGCACATTTAAAACGGCCCTTAACAAAAGTGCTTCAAAACAAGATGAGTAAAACAAACAAACAAAAAAAAAAACAGTAATACAGGTTCTATTAAAAGAGAATTAAAATGTAGAATCTCACATACATTACAATTAATCCTACTTTTCAAACAATACAGAATGCTTAACAATTGAAATAAACAAAACATTCTCAGAGAACCAAGCAGATTGGATGGAGTCACTAAATTGCAGCATTTAAAAATTAATATTTAGAATATAAGTCAATAAGGCAAAATTATAACAGATCATATTGTTAGAGATGATTTTCAATACTTCATGAATACAAATGTTTCCTTACCTGAAGACTGAAGACTGCAGGGGAACAGCTGAACTGCTTTAGTGTCTGAGTTTGTGACTTTACATGTTAGTGACGGGCAAATGTCTAATTTCTGATGAGATGTTGGATATGTCACAGTGGCAGAGCAGGAATGTGAGATATTTCCATATCTGAGTGTTTTTCCTCTTTCCCCTCATAAAGCCACTTCACCTCATGTAGACAGTCATCATATTGGAGCACAGAGCAGAACAAGGTGACTTTTTCTGAGTTCTGCTGCTCAAAGACTGATGGAAAAAGAGAAATTAAAGAGAAAAATACTGCAGTATTTAAATTCCTGCATGATTACTGTGTATAAATGTAACATTACACATTTAGATTTTACATAATATAAATACTCACTACTAATTAGAGACAGATACACAACAAAGTCATGTTGTGTTCCTGATGTGATCCAACGGCATGTGTACCGGCCAACATCCTTCTCTTTGACATTATGTAGAAGCAGAGAACCGTTTTGCTGTAACACTCAGTCTGTCTGATATAGTTTTCATTTCTCTGTGGAATTTCCAAATTTCACCAGTGTTTTGATTTCAGATGAATGTCTATCATTGAGGAACCAAGCAGTTTCATCAGATTTATCATATGTGTCTCGTCTGTTTCCACAAGGCAAAGTGACGTTATCTCCTCCTCTGACAGTAAGGAAGGTTTTTTGCATCTCAGTTTGTGCTGTTAAAATGCAAAGTAAAATTTCAACAAAATGTGAAAACACTAACATGTAATGATTACCAGCTAAAATGATAAAACAGCTGTTTCAGGTAAAACGTGTCATGTTGATCCTTACCTATAAACTGAAGCATGAGGATCAGAAGTAAAACCATTTGACTCCATCTGAAAGCAGCCATGGTGCCTTACTGCTCTGTTACTTCACAAATGATTCAGTCTCTAAAGTTGGCTCGCTCTTAAAAATACATTCATGCATTTTTCAGTTGCATCATTTCCTCTCAGTGACTGTGCCCAGTGTGTTTAAAAACTGTATTATGTTTACAAACTCAGGATTCGGTGATGACACAAGGGAGAAATGGGAAAATTACTTTTATGTCTGAGGTATTTAATCGTTAAAAAAACATTAATCCAGGAAGCAGCAGCACAGAAGAGAGAAAGAGACGGTGTAAATATTCTTTGTTGTATTTAGAATAATGAAGAATAAACTCACCAGAAATTATTCTCCTGTCGTCTGCAATATCTGAAAAAGTTATATACTGAAACCAACTGAGATGTTTCTCCTCTCATGTCTGTTGCTGCCTTATTTAACTCAGGTCATTTTTTCTTAAGAAGTGAAGAGGAAGTGTTATTCTGAGAATGTGACAGTTGCAGCAGAGGAGGTTATTTGTCCACCAATGATCAGAAGCAGTTTGTGGTTACACGTTGATGGATGTCCATCACAGTTTCCATGACAACTCACTGGAGTGATGTTGACTCCTTTTATCTGAGTTGTCATCTAAGGTCACAAAATTTCATCAAAATTTCTCCTCAAGAGAAAGTAATTCCTCTATTTTTTGTATTAAAACATTTAAAAAAGAAAAACACACACCAACAAATAAAACATTTTTTAAGAAATGCACTTTAATTCAATAAAATAATAAGAAATATTAAAATACTCATATTATCAGAAAATTTTTTAAAAAACATATGCAAATACATATTTAAAAACATAAAGAAACTTGAGCTGTCTGAACAATAGAACTCAACTGTACTGCATCTAGTGGAGACTTGGTGTAATTCCAATAGATATTTATGTATTTCTTTTATTTCTTATTTATTATCTTCCCTTTGTGATGTTTGATTTTTGTCGCTCTTGTTTCAATATATTAACATAATTAAATAATGAAGGTACTAAATATTTATTATAAATGTAATAAAGGATTTTCATGCAGAACAAAGATGTAAACAATAAACATAAAAATACCTACAGAATATGATATTTGTAACAACTTCACTGTATTGATTTCTGATGGATTTTTTGTACAATAAACAAACATAAAAACCATTTTTAATTGATAAACAATGGAATATGAACTGTCTGATTTCTTTTACCCCAATAATTTCGTTAACAGCTACATCACCCCCTGGTGGCCAAACAGAGTCATTTCTAGCAAAGGCTTGATTTGTGGTCAAATTGAGGAGTTTGGACTGCATCATTACATTACATTAATGCACAGCTTTTCAGTTTAAAGACATATTTTAAAAGTTTCATGTTGACTCTTGTTTATACTTTCATTCATTGTTAAAATTTAAACTCCCCAAATATTAAACAAACGATGCAGTAAGGAAAGTTGTGGGGGTCAGAAGCAAAAGAAAACGTTTCAGAAATGAAGTTTCAGGCTAAAACTGATATGAAGAGATGTAACTTTTTAAGATAATCAGTTTTTCTATTATCATCTCCTGATGTTAAGCATAATGAGATATTCATCATATGCAGCGGTCTGATTCCTGCAGGAAGCTGATGCTGAAGTTGTTAATCAGTTCTGCCTGACAGCAGCACAAATCAGTTTTCATAAATCTCTACACCTTCCTCTTCGTCTTCATCGTTACACTCCTGCAGAAAAAAGCATATTCTAAAACTGGGCATATAGTTGGTTCTATTTGACCCACTGATATTGCTGACTTATTCACTGTCCCTCATCATGACCAACTATCAGACCCTCCTGCTAAATAAATGGACAGCCCTCAGCTCCCACAATCTGTTGATATTCATTCACAGCCACCAGCAGCAGTTTCTAAGTCTCAAACTTCACACCTCAAGAGTCAAAGTCCTGTGACATTTAGATGTATCTCTTGTCCTATACACTTAAATTAATTAGTGAAACTGAATTACTAGCATGTAGTCAAGCTGTACAGAGCTACCTGCCATTGAGTTCCTATTGGAGCCATGTGTGCTGAAGAGGAGACATCTAAAGGTTGCAGGACACCAGGCCTCAAAGTTTAAGACCACTGTTTCATTCAAACTGCAGAAAGTGGGTGTTTTATACATTTGTGAATCAGAATTGCTCATCCAGCACATCTCACACATTCTCAGTCATCACCAGAAGTCATTCAATTCAGTGGATAAAGACTATTCTCACACCTGATAGTCTGGCAGACTCAGTTGGATTTGGGACCAAAACTAAAACATTTGTTTCATTGTCAGGTACTGCGGTTCAATTTCTTGTGACTCTGTGTCAAATAAACCAAACTGTTTGAAAAACCCGTTCCATTCCTCACTAGTGGCCATGTTGTACCAAGAACCACTGAAGGAAACGAAAAGCAAACCTCTTAAAAAGCCACTGAACGCAACTTCCTTCTTCATAAAATGTCAACAAAACTGGAGTGGCATCAGACGTCTATCTTTGGGAAAAGACCATGAGCCATTTCTCCTGTTACAACTGGAAACACTCATTTCATTTGGTTATATTTACCCAGAATGCTCTGCACTATATTCAGCTTAGCATCCACATGTTGGGGTATGGAGTGGACTAGAGTTTGATCATGTTAATAAATCTTCATCTTAACTATTTACTATTCATTCTTCCTGCATCCAGACATTGTCTCTGACAAAATAATGTTTGTATCCCAATGAGATATTTAAATTCATTTGAATATGTAGCTTTATACTTACCAGGTTTTGCTCATTTTGTTTATTTCCTGTAAAAAACAACAGATTTTATTTAAATTTCAAAAGAAAAAGTCCTTATTTTCCAGTAGGTTTAATGTATGAAGCTTCATCTGTCAACATTCTCACCTTTAGTTTTCAACCACAGGTTGAGAATTACGACTGACATTACGAGAGCTGCTAAACCCACAGACACAACGATCCATCTCAACCAAAAGGAAAAACTCTGAAAGCAGAAAAATAAAATGTCCTCTTTATTCTTAATTGAGGCAAAATTATATTCCCTGACTTGAAAAATTAGAAGTCGTCCTTGTTGTTTACCTTCATTGTTGCTCCGTGCAGGTGTCCAGTGATGTGTTGGTGTTGGTGTTGACTGGATCTCCTCTAGTTCAAAGAAAGCAAGAGTGAAAAGCTGCTTCCTGTTAACTTTACAGCAGAAGAAACTCACTTCCTTACCTGAAGACTGAAGACTGCAGGGGAACAGCTGAACTGCTTTAGTGTCTGAGTTTGTGACTTTACATGTTAGTGACGGATAAATGTCTAATTTCTGATGAGATGTTGGAAATGTCACAGTGGCAGAGCAGGAATGTTGAGATATTTCCATATCTGAGTGTTTTTCCTCTTTCCCCTCATAAAGCCACTTCACCTCATGTAGACAGTCATCATATTGGAGCACAGAGCAGAACAAGGTGACTTTTTCTGAGTTCTGCTGCTCAAAGACTGATGGAAAAAGAGAAATTAAAGAGAAAAATACTGTAGTGTTTAAATTACTACAGTTTAGATTATACATAATATAAATACTCACTAGTAATTACAGATAGAAGCGCAACAAAGTCATGTTGTGTTCCTGATGTGATCCAACGGCATGTGAACCGGCCAACATCCTTCTCTGTGACATTATGTAGAAGCAGAGAACCGTTTGCTGTAACACTCAGTCTGTCTGATATAGTTTTCATTTCTATGTGAGAATTTCCCAGTTTGACCAGTGTTTTTGTTTGATATGTATGTCTATCATTGAAAAGCCAAGCAGTTTCATCAGATTTATTTTTTGTGTCTCGTCTGATTCCACAAGGCAAAGTGACGTTATCTCCTCCTCTGACAGTAAGGAAGGTTTTCTGCATCTCAGTTTGTGCTGTTAAAATGCAAAATAAAATTTCAACAAAATGTGAAAACACTAACATGTAATGATTACCAGCTAAAATGATAAAACAGCTGTTTCAGGTAAAATGTGTCATGTTGATCCTTACCTATAAACTGAAGCATGAGGATCAGAAGTAAAACCATTTGACTCCATCTGAAAGCAGCCATGGTGCCTTACTGCTCTGTTACCTTCACAAATGATTCAGTCTCTAAAGTTGGCTCTGCTTAAAAATACATTCATGCATTTTTCAGTTGCATCATTTCCTCTCAGTGACTGTGCCCAGTGTGTTTAACCATTTCTGCTTGTTAAATTAGCTGCAGGTATTAATGTTTACAAACTCAGGATTCGGTGATGACACTAAGGGAGAAATGGAGAAATTACTTTTATGTCTGAGGTATTTTAATCATTAATTTTACTGTAACACTAAATCCAGGAAGCATAACGTTGAGCAGCAACAGAACCGAGGAAAGAGACGGTGTAAATATTCTTTGTTGTATTTAGAAATAATGAAGAATAAACTCACCAGAATTATTCTCCTGTTCGCTCTGCAATATTCTGAAAAAGTTATATTACTGAAACCAACTGAGATGTTTCTCCTCTCATGTCTGTTGCTGCCTTATTTAACTCACATATTTTTTCTTAAGAACTGAAGAGGAAGTGTAATTCTGAGAATGTGACAGTTGCAGCAGAGGAGGTTTATTTGTCCACCAATGATCAGCAGCGTTTGTGGTTAACACGTTGATGAATGTCATCACAGTTGCCATGACAACTCACTGGAGTGATGTTGACTTCCTTTTATCTGAGTTGTCATCTAAGGTCACAAAATTTCATCAAAATTTCTCCACAAGACGTTGATAAGAACCTTTATGAAAGTAATTCCTCTATTTTTTAGTATTAAAACATTAAAAATGTAAAAGAAAAACACAAACCAACAAATAAAACATTTGATTTAAGAAATTCACTTTAATTCAATAAAATTAATAAGAAATATTAAAATACTCATATTATCAGAATTTTTTTAAAAAACATATGCAAATACATATTTAAAAACATAAAGAAACTGAAGCTGTCTGAACAATAGAACTCAACTGTACTGCCATCTAGTGGAGACTTGGTGTAATTCCAATAGATTATTTATGTATTTCTTTTATTTTTTATTTATTATGATCTTCCCTTTGTGATGTTTGATTTTTGTCGCTCTTGTTTCAATATATTAACATAATTAAATAATGAAGGTACTAAATATTTATTATAAATGTAATAAAGGATTTTCACTCAGAACAAAGATGTAAACAAAAAACAAAAAAATACCTACAGAATATTGATATTTGTAACAACTTCACTGTATTGATTTCTGATGGATTTTTTTGTACAATAAACAAACATAAAACCATTTTTAATTGATAAACAATTGGAATATGAACTGTCTGATTTCTTTTACCCCAATAATTTCGTTAACAGCTACATCACCCCCTGGTGGCCAAACAGAGTCATTTCTAGCAAAGGCTTGATTTGTGGTCAAATTGAGGAGTTTGGACTGCATCATTACATTACATTAATGCACAGCTTTTCAGTTTAAAGACATATTTTAAAAGTTTCATGTTGACTCTTGTTTATACTTTCATTCATTGTTAAAATTTAAACTCCCCAAATATTAAACAAACGATGCAGTAAGGAAAGTTGTGGGGGTGAGAAGCAAAACAAAACGTTTCAGAAATGAAGTTTCAGGCTAAAACTGATATGAAGAGATGTAACTTTTTAAGATAATCAGTTTTCTATTATCATCTCCTGATGTTAAGCATAATGAGATATTCATCATATGCAGCGGTCTGATTCCTGCAGGAAGCTGATGCTGAAGTGGTTAATCAGTTCTGCCTGACAGCAGCACAAATCAGTTTTCATAAATCTCTACACCTTCCTCTTCGTCTTCATCGTTACACTCCTGCAGAAAAAAGCATATTCTAAAACTGGGCATATAGTTGGTTCTATTTGACCCACTGATATTGCTGACTTATTCACTGTCCTCATCATGACCAACTATCAGACCCTCCTGCTAAATAAATGGACAGCCCTCAGCTCCCACAATCTGTTGATATTCATTCACAGCCACCAGCAGCAGATTCTTGGGCCGGGAGTTGAGACCCGCTGCACTGAAGACTCGGCCTCAGTACCTTGGGTCTTTGCTCAAGCTGCAAAGCTTTCAATGCTTTTTCTATGTCTTGTTGACTGTAGAATAAAGGCAGTCTGTGTCAGAGGAGACTCCTGCAGCAGAGGAAGACGTTCCCACAGTGCTGTAGATCACAGTTTCAGGGAGCTGGAAGGAAAAATCACATTCACTATGATGTTTAGAGTGTATCAAAGTCTTAACAATCCAATTTTACATCAAATTTAAACATGTTTGACAATTATCCTCCAGAAAGGGAGATTTTGTTTCAAGAAGCTAATTTTGTATCTATGGTTTAAGACTATTTGGAATGCTAATGCCACTAAATCAATACCAATAATATCCAGAATATCCCATTGTTTGTTTTTATTTCGTTTATTAAATACTATTCACAGCCGTGTGTTTATCAGCAGATAAAACAGAGTGTGTTTTTGAAATACACACTTTGCTGGATTTTATCTTTAAGCAATTTATTTTATGTTTGTTTAGCTGTTTCAACCTGTTTTACTTTGTGGAAATTTATGTAGATTTTGCCAAAAGAACAGACATTAAATTATTCAAATACATATCTGATGGTTCTTTAATGCACTGAAAAACTCACATTGCCTGTTTTCTTTTTGGATTTCTTGAAGTTGATGGAGGCATAAGACAGACCGTCCTCTGATTCAGCCTGGACAGAGAAAAACACTTTTTAACATTTGACCTAAATAAAGCAGGATTTGAAAATAAAGTTTCATTGATCAGTCATTGCGGTTTCCATTAAAACTAAACAAAAACACAAGAATCAACAAACAATGCCAAACATAATAGTGTGTACATATGTTCACTTGCTCAGGCGATTTTGAATATTTTCTATCATGTTCAATAATCTTTTGACAAACAATCAACCTCATTAGGATCAAAGCCTGGTTGTTGAGCAGCAGATCCTCATTTTTAAGTTTCATGGTATTGAGTGGTAGAATCAGGAACAAATGGGTGATAGTTATGGTTAACATTAATGCAATGACTAACATGAATAGAAGCCAATACAATGTCCTGTATGGAAGAAATTGAAATGTGTGTGTGTATGTGTGCTGCACGTGTGTGTGTGGGGAGGGGGAGGGGAAGGAGGGGGAGGTGTGTGTGTGTGGGGGGGGGGTGTGCGTGTGTATGTGTGTGTGTGTGTGGGGGTGTGTGTGTACGTGTGCATGCGTGTGTGTGTGTGCGTGTACTTGTAAAAGTTCAAATAGAGGACCATTTCCACCATTTTGACAAAAAAAGAGAGGTCATTGTGGAAAGTGAGGACCTTTTCCTGGCCCTCATCCTTTTGTAGTTCTACTTCACTCTATGTATAGAGGCATGGTAAAGGTTAGATAAAATGAATGGAAATCAATATAAAGTCCACAAATGTGTCTGTGCATCCATGTGTGCGTATGTGCGTGTGTTTGCATGTGCGCATACTGTATTTTGACTGGTTTCTGGAACAGCTAAGCCCTCTGAAGACTCTGGGTCCAGGTCCTGGTTTGTTGAAACTTTATGCTGGGGAACCTTAGATCAACAAATTCACTCAGCAAGTGCCGTATATTACATAATTAAAGTTACTATGGTTTAAAACAAATGACTATGTTTGGACAATGACCTGAAGTAAAATAAATGATATGGAAAGTCACCAAGAATTTATCATCAGATTGCTTTTTAAGTTAAATAACCCTGTGGGGAATGAAACCTGAGGTCCGTTTGTTTTCTTGTGTCTACTTGATGTTCAACTCCCTTTTTGTGACTAAATTAATTCCTTTATCTTGCTTCAACATTTTATCTACCAAATTGTATCTCTGTGTTAAACTCTTTCCAGTGTATAGGAAACTACGCATCTAAAATTAAACCTAAAGTTAACTATATTTAATGTGTCAATGTTGAAACTCACCATGATGTCATCAATTTGTGTTTTATTTCCTGAAACAACACAGAAATGGACTTATATGTTCACAATGGTATGTATTTTCAAACATATGTCAAGATGACAATGGCTTAAATAATGAATGTATTTTTTGAACTTCTTATTTAAACATACTTAACATTATCAGATCATTTTTTCATCAAGTCACTACCTACTGTTGGTAACAGTGCTGCTCTTTTACTAAACGCTACTAACGCTACTAACGCTCTACAGCAAAAGACATAAAACATGAAAATCTAAAATGCCATTTGCATCAAATTAACTTCTAGTTCTTTCAGGTAATAGTTTGGAAATGAAAGATTTGACTCTGAATTATCTCACCTTTAGTTTTGTTCCACCTGATGATCACCAGGACAGTTATTAAAACCATTGCTAAGCATAATGGAATAAAAATATACCACCATGGAAAACCTAAGAAGATAATTCATTACATTAAAAACAATGTAATTCCAAGAAAACAATGTTGTTAATCAAAATGTGAACACAGCTAATCGGTCTTAATGTACAACATCACAGTTACTGATGAGAGAAGGATTGGTCATTGCATAAATTAGTTTAAATGACTTATTTCCAATAATGTCAATTTACTTGTTGATGTACCATTTGTAGAGTTGATTGTTTTTTCTATTCCTTTATTTGTTTGATTTTCTAGTTTAGAAAAAACATGAAATAAACTTTATAATGACGATAAATCTAGCTTAGTAATGTTGTATTCTCTTCAATTCAGTGGCGGAGCTACACTTTAAAGCAAGGCTTTATCAGAGGGTCCATATACAAATGGACCGTTCCATGGAACGAAAGGAAACAAATATTTTTTTCTTTCGTTCAAAATTAATTAATATAACTAGTTAGGTTATAATTCAAAGTTTTCATATGACATAGCCTACTTACATTTCAGTCATTATAAAACTAAATGGTTTTTCACATATTCTTACCACACATTTCAAGCAAGAGCTGGGAGACATAAAACATTAGAGGGCATAATATACTAAGGGCGCTTTATGAGGGGAAAGAGGAAAAACACTCAGATATGGAAATATCTCAACATTCCTGCTCTGCCACTGTGACATTTCCAACATCTCATCAGAAATTAGACATTTGCCCGTCACTAACATGTAAAGTCACAAACTCAGTCACTAACGCAGTTCAGCTGTTCCCCTGCAGTCCTCAGTCTTCAGGTAAGGAAGTGAGTTTCTTCTGCTGTAAAGTTAACAGGAAGCAGCTTTTCACTCTTGCTTTCTTTGAACTAGAAGAGATCCAGTCAACACCAACACCAACACATCACTGGACACCTGCACGGAGCAACAATGAAGGTAAACAACAAGGACGACTTCTAATTTTTCAAGTCAGGGAATATAATTTTGCCTTAATTAAGAATAAAGAGGACATTTTATTTTTCTGCTTTCAGAGTTTTTCTATTGGTTGAGATGGATCGTTGTGTCTGTGGGTTTAGCAGCTCTCGTAATGTCAGTCGTTATTTTCAACCTGTGGTTGAAAACTAAAGGTGAGAATGTTGACAGATGAA